AAACCAAAAGAGTGTTGACTAGCTGAGAACAGCCATAAACAACCATAAACAATCATAAACAGCATTAACATAATGTTTATGTTAGTATTGACTATTACTTGTTTAATACATCCTAGGATATATACTTTTTCACACTTAGGTATCAGTAGACTCACAAATGTCACTGGGAGAGTATAGAATCCTTCCATGACACTTGATTTAGCATGAATTACTAGCAAAATATGTGTTAGAAATTAGAAGAAAAGAGATCTCTATGACTAGTGTGCTCACTAGAATCATGTTCGCTGGGTATTCCAAGTTGCTAGAGAGGCAAAGTCCAAATAAAGGATAAAGGATGAATTAAAAGCACAAGATTTGTGTGTCATGCTTTGAGACACACATAGAGCCATAGCAGGAATGCTTTGAACTAAATCATGATGGGGAATTGCCAGGAATCCCCAAAGAGGCCAGTATATCTGAAATGGAGTAGGTGAGAGAAAAAATAGATGTCAAAAGCATGTGTTAAATAATCTCTTTGGGGAGAGTTGTGTATCTTTGTGATGTTTTGAGCTTCTCTTTGTATTGGATCAAGATACTTGAGAGTTTGTGTCTAAGAAGCAGAAATCATAGGAACGCAGAAGTAGCAGTTGAGATTTACTTGCAGGCTATTAAGACAGGCTATTCCACTGGAGGTCAAGATAACAGAAAGGCAGACAACGAATTCTGTAAATACTATGAGCTGGATGAAGGTTTGGCAATAGTTCGGCATGGGATATATAAGATCCCCAAAGGCCTGAGCCTGTGTAAGGATAGTGCCCCTAAACTGGGATGAGTAAAACTTCAGGACAATGTACCTGGATATAATTTCATTTTTTGATATAATGTTTATATAGGGTTGGGGTACTTTAAAAGTGTTCATAAATCAAGACAAGGAGAAGAAATTGAGTCATTTAAAAATGAGGATGGCTGGCCATCCACGAATACCCTATCAGTGGTCAGGGAAGAGAGTGGAGAAGGAGGGAAGGCTGGACCGAAGGCAATGTAGTTGTGTGGGGAAGAGCTGCGCATAGTAGAAGGATGAGGTTTCAGTGCGAAAGCCAGGGTTCTGCTATGGTTTTGTGTGTACCCCCTGCAGGGTGGTTTTTTTTTTTTTGTATGCACATTGAAAACATGCGCAGTGCTTTCTGCTGCAATCATGTGACTCTCCCCTCCCTACGGAGGCTAGATTCTATTAGGAATGGACTTTACAGTCCTTTAAACCTCCCTGAGACTTTTAAGAAAATGAACAAGCTTTTCTTTTTTCAAGAATTTCAAAAGAATTCAAAGCTGAAGAAATGACTCAGAGGTAAGGAACACTGGTTGGTCTTGCAGAGAGAAGACCCAAGTTTGGTTCCCAGCACCACACAGCAGCTCCCAACCATCTGTGAGTCCTGTTTGTGGACCCTTCCCCCTCTTCTTTGCTCTATGAGTAACAAGCATGCATATGGGGCACATGCATAGGTGAAGGCAAAACATTCATATGCATACAATTTAAAAGAAAAGCATTTCAGTATTTTAAAAATTCCCAAGAAATGTTACATCACGACTGAGATTTCAGTTATCTCCAAACTGGTTCATCGTCTGGTCTCAGCTTCCCAGGACCCGGCATAGCAGTAACACACTTGCTTTTCTTGGTTTACCATTTTGTGTCCCTTCTGCTCAAAATCTTCAAGTGATTGAAAATTCTGCTGAGATGATAGTCACCTTACCTTACATCAAATACCTTCCAACTGGAACCAACTTCAAATTGTACTGCCTAATGTTCTCCTTTAAAAGATACCTCCAGCGCTGGACTCTAGCCGACTCTTGTAGGCACTGCCTGGCCCTTCTATTCCCATTAGCTCTGCCTGCTTTGAAATTCAATTTCCAGATTAATCTTCCTAAAAATCAAGCCCAATCAAGTCATTTCTCTGCTCTCAACCAGATTTTTACACTCTATTGCCTGGTGATATAATTACAAATTTTCTCCCAGTGTAGCTCCATCCCACTCACTCAGTAGTTCTGACTCATTGTGCTTATTCTACACAGCTCATAGAGCAATAGACTGCAATTAGGGCTGCCTCTTTGTGCCTTCATTGATCTTCAAGGGGTAGAGCAGATCCAGTGAGGTCAAATAGCTGGTTTCTAATGTCAGTATGCATGCAACCAACATCTCTATGGTACTTTTATATTTAGCTATTTATTGCATCTTCTTTACTTGATTTTAAATTTTGTAGAAACAGGACAATAACTTCACTCAATTCTTTAACCTCGCCTAACATACTATCTGAAACTTCACATTTAGTGGAGAGTAAGTAAATAAACATGACTGAAAACCATATGGAAGAACTAGGAACTGTCATTAATATATAGCCTAATTTTCATCATTGTACAAATTACATAAGACAAAGCCCAGCATGGGTTAAAAAAGCCTTCTCTGAGTTCATAAATTCAGGAAGAGTGTAACAAAGTGAATTTAGTAAGCATTGTTAGAATTCTTGGCTTAATGTTTATCTGCATTTCTTATCTGTTTAAAAATTAGTCTTGCCATGTTGCACTGATAATATTTTCATAATTTCTCTCCTACAAAACACTCCTCTCCTATACAATTAAAATAATAATGACTGTTTTATATGATGATCTTGGTGATAAGAGCACTGAATGATACATTCTTTTTGAAGCACCAACTATTGCTTATGTCAGGTTCCTTCTTTCCAGGTGAACAGGCCTCATTCTTCAAAAGGGACCTGGAATCTGCAATTAAAGCTGCCTGACAGATTGGACTGGGCACTCATGCTTAGAATCCATTCCATGCTCAGGAGCTATCTATCTAGGGGAACAGCTACACTCAGCCATCATGAGCCTCTTGGTCTTTCTTAGGCTTAGGGAAAGGAAAGATTGGTGACTATTAGCCAAAGGAAGCTTTTCTATGATCTAGGGATCTGTCATGGGTAATCAATAAAATTCAGGAGTGATATCCCTCCTAAAGTGCCGCCTGCCACCGTAATGTTTCTTTGAACCATCTAAAGCAGCTCTACCATTGTTGTCCCTCTGGAGGTAGCTGAGAGTCTGGAACGCCAGCCGAACCAAGACTAATGGGAGGAAGGGACCCTAGTTATAGAGATTAGAAGGGCGCAGAGGCTAGAAAAAACTCAAGAACTGGAATAATTATTTTCATTATGTATATGGTCTCAGAAGTATTTCTCGTTTGAGAAGTGGAAAGGGGACTGATTTGAAGAAGTGCAACAGTCAGGGACAGCAGGGTAAGAACAGTCATTTTCAGCAAGCAGGATAGGTTCATTTTTGCTTGAATTCCTTCTTTTTTTTTTCTCTTCATTCCATGCTACTTTCAGGTTTTTCTTCCTCAGAAATCTCTTTGTTCTGTGGCCTCCTCTGAACAAATCTTCTGCCATCAATACTTTAAAAATATATATTGCTAAACATTCTAAACTTGAGGTAATTTTGAAAGGAAGGAAAGAAGTCAGCCCTAATCAATGGCCAGCAGGAGAAGTCAGCGCGTTTTAAGGAAATGCAGTTTTACTGCTCTTAAAGAGGTACTGGAATTATTGAAAGCAGTAATGAGCTGCATTGCCCTAGATGCGCTTCCTACATAAGCACAAACGTGTAAATTTACTCTTGGAAGTATAATAGGAGCTTTTGATTGTTTTTCTTCTCCTCCGTCTTTCTTCTTTGTCTTCATTTTTTTTTTCCTTTGCTGAAGGCCTTCTGTCATCAAGTAACTAACATTTACCTCTTTACAAATTGCTTAGCAAACAGTTTTCACTTGAACATTAAGCATATTGAGATATGAACTCAAATCTCATTTTGTTTAAAAGTCGGCGCTAATGAGGTCAGGACCACACACTAAATCTCTGTATCAGCCAGTCGTGTCCTCTTCTCTCTTGTGTGGCTAGAAGCATGTGAGTGATGAGCTCTGCTCACAGGCAGCTTGGAGGGAGAGAGTGTGGACCAACCTGTTCAATGTGCATCCACATGGAGGAAAACAGCTGGGTTCGTCATCTGCTGTGCATCTTTGGTCAGTAGCTTCAGCTTTCTTTGTGAGAATGGGATACCTCCGAATTTGAGTCGCATCATTGGCATTTTAATAGTTTGCTTGATATTTCAACTTCTTGCTGTCTACTCATGTGAATAGAACCCAGAAGGCAGTTTTCTATTTCTAGTGGTGTATCTTTTAATTGTATGTATTTGTACTTTATGTGATAATGCTGTTAATACCGTCTAAGCTGTGAGATTTGTCTTAGAATTGACTCTGAACTCTTGGAAGGGAACATAATGATCCTTTTTACGATGAGTGTTTTCTTTTTCTCCCAAACCTTTTATTTTAAGACAGAGGGAGCTTTTTTCCTAGATTGAAATGTATTTCTTAATGAAATTAAGATGTAAAAATAGACACTAAATTTATGATTATAACAAATTTGGGGGAGGCTTCAAATCAAGCTTCTATTAATATTTCATTCAGAAACTTCATTTTATTGTTTAATGAGAGCTGCCATGTTCCATTTTTAATATGATTAAAATTGCTATGTAAGCTTAATTATGTGCTCTGACTACAGCCATCCTTAGTATGTGCTCTGAGTACCGTCATCCTTCTCCAGGAAGCTAAGTACAACAGTGATTTCAAACAGACATTAAGTTCTAAAGCTTCAGAGTCTCCTAAAATTCAGTTATGAAAAATCAATTACTTTTCTTAATGAAATAGTTCATATATTTTGTATAAAATTATGCTTACCTTTAAATCAAAATACCATGTTTTATGATAGAATATAGATTAAAGATACTTAATTTAAACTTTAACATGCATTAGAATTACAAATTATGTGTTTAGGTACTTGCTTTGCATTTGACTGTCGTTTTCCTTTTAAGGGGTGGTATTTGTTTTTTTTTGTGGAATAATTTTGTTTTTCCATTATTTATCATGTTGATTATACTAAGCATAAAGTATGATTTCATAATCTTATCACCCTTTCTTTTGTTATTTTTAGTGATCTCAGTGAAAATCAAATTCAAGCAATTCCAAGGAAGGCTTTCCGTGGGGCAGTTGACATTAAAAATCTGTGAGTATATATGCACATCTTAATTTACAGTTCTTTATAAATTATAATCTGTTTTAGATCAGGTTTACATTTTTAATTATCAGAAAAATTAAATACTGATGTAATTTTCTTGTTATTTTTAAGATCTTCCAAAACCAACGTAATTTTTTTTCTGTTTGTACAGATGTTTGGCAACTCAAGTCATTATAAAATTTATTTTAAAATACTCTGATTAGTGTTTTATAATTTTCAAAGTATGAAATGGTATTATGATGTGTTGTTTTTATCACTTTTTCCTAGAGTCCTCCCTTGTTCCCTTTGCAGTTTCTGTCAGGGTATGCTAAAATTCAACATATAAACAGGTTTATTTTCTTTTGGAAATAGATAATATTTTTCAGATAAAGATAAAGATGGCTCAGAACCTCAGCTCTTTCTGGAGTTTTTAGATGTTAGAGGTGTAAAAATGATAAATTCATCTTTTTTGTGTGAATTTTTCTCACATCTTTTCCCTCCTATCTTTGAAGGACTGTGTGAATAGCCACCCTTAATAAGAAGAAAAAGGAAAAGAAAAAACATATTTCTTTATTTTCCTTGATAAATCTTTAATCTAGTTTCTTTCTTGGTGTTTAAGTTCCTATGGCTCTCATGCTACCTGTGAGATATAAGCTCTCCGTGGCAAACCTAATATTGTCAATATATATCTTTATCAATTTCAAAATACCACGTTAGTCTTTTAAAATGACTTTTCAGTTTACTTCACATGTTGAGGGTTCAAATGTTTTCCATAGCTATTGCAATACCTTGGAATGTGGGGGTGAAGAGCCCTTGGGTGCCAAGATTAACTCTTACAAGCCAATATTTCTTAGCTAGTCATAAACAGGGCAGGCAATTTTTCAAGAATTAACTTATATTCAGAATTCTCCATGGGAGAATTCAGTTCCATTTTTCTTTAGTAGTGAAAGTGAGACAGATGTTGTCCTTTGTCAAAGAAGACAAGTGTTGATAAAGCCACAGATTTTGGCCTTTACATTTCCCCAGTAGAAATGTGTTTTTCTTTATCGTGTATCTGTGCTTTCTGAGTGCCCAAGTAATAACAGAAAAGTACAGCTTTATGGTTATAAATAGACAAAGCCATTAACATTGTGACGGTGGTGATTTTTTATGTGCACTTAGACAAAAAAGGTTTTTTTCCTGCTTTCTTTCTCTCTTTACTAGCTGGGACTTTGAGAACATTTAAGTCGGCTCGCCAACACAGGGGGATCCAATCTGTCTCAGTGCATTATGTGTGGATATGATATTACTTAAGAATTCATAGATGTACGCTCAAGTTGCAGTGGCTACAACTGGCCACCCTGCAGTATGTTACTTGTAACCTCACAGTGGGGCTGCCATTAAGCACTTAGTACAACTGCATTTAACTATTCTTCAGGTATTCAAAGAATTCAAGTCACCAACTGTATGTTCCTATGAGGAAGTCTACATTTAAGACTACTGACCCATCCCAGGGGATTTTTTTAAAAACATGTTTTCTTCATTTAACTGAAAAGCAAGTCCAGAGATTAAGTGGAAAGTGAGAGAGTAAGCTGGCTGCCGTGTGAAATGGGAGTTTTCATGATTCCCCTGCATACACTACTGAATTTTCTCAAGTTCACAGACTTACATATACTGTACCGTGAAGGTAGGATAACAGACTGAGACACTTTTCCTGTAATTTGAATTCATGCACATGAACAATCATCCAACTCCTCTTGTCCTTTAGTACTTAATTTCACAAACTGACTACTAGTTACTTGGGTTTGTTGTGGTTATTAGGCAAATGAGGTGCAAAAGAACTTTAAACCACTAAAATGCTAGGAAACTGTAGTGTTATGTTTCATTATACAATTATCCAGTGAGTAACTCCTAAACTTATCCGTGAATAAATTGCTCACACAGGGGACAGACTAGTAGAAGATGAAATATATTTCCGTATTAGAATTTAATTAAAAGATTATTTAAACATGCATATGATTCCTGTGAGTCAGTTAGATGCAGAACTTCAAAATGAAAAAAAAAAGTACATACAAACATTAAATGAACATACAACAAAAACAAGATTTATGAAGTAGAGATCGCATGCTATAGGGATTCAGGGAGGAACAACTTCATAGTATTATGAAAAAATGTTAGAATAAAAGAATATAGGGAGAAATTTAAGCTATTATCTCATGTGTAGGTGAACAGTAGATAGCAAATTGAGGAAAAACATGCTATCAAAATCAAAATGCAATGGAGTTTTGGTCTGTTTTCTGTGCGTAAGAAATGGAATGTGACTTTTTTTACATGAAGCAGTGATGAGGCGTGGGAGGTGCTGGCTGACAGCTTCCTCACAGAGTCAGCTTTGGACATGCATGTTTCTGTGGAAGAAAGGAAGCATAAGGGATGGTATAGACCTCAATGGTAACGCTAAAATAATAAGAAGCAAATGACTCCTATTCTCACCATCTTCCATGAACTAATGCAAAAGGAAAGCGTGTTTGATCAGCTCAAATAGCTAGAAGAGACTTCAGGGTTCAAAAATATTTCAAACTGTATTTTCAAAAATCATTCTCATTTCATGGGGCAGAGTTTAAAGTTTAGGGTTTTTTTTTTCCCTTTCAACCAAAGGCAGCAAATCTCCTAATTTCTAAGTATAAAATTTAGCTTGCAGTATTAGTAAACTGCTAGTCCCAGCCATCCATGAGTCAGCATCAGACTTTTGATGGTGACTTTAGTACTCCTTGGGAGAGAGAACAGTGTTTTGTCACCTTTACTGTGCTCCAGTAAGGCTAAGTGAGATTTGTTAATGGGACTTCATGACACCACCACTCAAGCCGCCACTGTCCTATGGGCTCCCAGTACTCTCTAGGTAAAAATGGGACAATTACCTGTGAGATCCTATGTGCCTGTGTGTTTACTCCTAAGTTGATTGTCTTTCATGGTGTTACAATCATAGCTGCACAACTATTCACAGGTTAAAAGAGGGAAAAGAGGTAGAGCAGCAGGCATCTGTGCGGAGCAGAGCCAAGACCCAGCTTCCTGGAGAGCTATCTGCCATCCTACCGTGCCCTAGTCTAGCAAATTTTCCAGACCTGCCACTTCAGAGCCTAATGTGAAGCAGTTTCCATTCCTACAGGATTTCTGGTGACAGCACTTGGTTTACTCTTGAGGTCTGGCTAAACATGCTCTAGGCGGCATCCTGACAATATAAAATTGATGCTGTGGAAATGTTGCAAATTACTACATTTTATTTCCCTTCCCCCAGGCAAGCCCCACTTAAACTATTTCAGACAGATGAACATTCATCTTGGTCTTAAGCATCTCAGGGGAGAACTAGCAGTAACTTTTTTGCTATCTCGCTTTATTTCATAGCTGGATTAAAATACTTTTCGTATTTTTTTAATTTATTTATTTATTAAGGATTTCTGCCTCCTCCCCGCTTTTTTTGTTGTGTCTTTCTATACTGCACGCGCCCCCATGCCAGCCACAGCTTCTATCGATTTCTTTTTTTCTTGACATTTTAGACACTCAAATATTATGAAAACAAAATTGTAATACAATATCAACAAAATAATTGCATTTCCAACAGCTTCCAGCAGCAGTGTTTATGGAATCTCCATTTGTGGTATTAAAGTCTCAAACTGTGAACTATTAATGGCCTGCTTTCACCAAAGGATGATTCTTCAAAAAACTAACTAATGCTTACAGAAGTTTTTATTAGAGTCTTTGTATGCGTAATTAGTAGATTAATGCTGAAGTGGTGAAACTTTGCTGCCCCTTAATCATACAGCATACATTATATTTTTTTCAAGCACTTGGTTAGGTATTTCCACTTACGCTTATCCTCTTAAAGAATATTCCAATCTAATTTGGCCTTATTTTTGCGACTTGTTTGTTTCCTTTTACTTCGTGTGATTTGTCTTCAGGTATATCTTAAGCATCTTTTATTTTATATGGAAACAGCTAGCCCCAATTCTATTTGCTCTGGAACTTAAGTAAAAAGAAGTATCAAAAAAAAAGCTTAGAATCGAAACAAGTTACAGTCAGTCACATCACAAAGCTCATATTAGTTTACTATTATACATATTAGATTACTCTCTTTACGGCTATGGGGATAAATACTGAACATAACTGAATGCCTGTAAGAATTATTTTAGGTCTGTGTAAAGGGAACTGCACACCTGCTTTTTCCTTCTTTGCTTCTGCTATTTATCTTCAAGATTAGTCTGTGATTTTCATCCTACACACTTCCCTGTCTATATCCTCTTCCTGTTAGCTTGTGTCTTTCCAGTCCCAATTATCCTACAGGTATGAATTTTACTCTCTTTTTCTAAGAAAAAAAATCATTGTTGACAAAATAACAGCTTTCCTTACATGAAAATACACCATGATTTTTATGGGCACTGAAGAAAACATTAATATAATTTCATGTGCATTAATCTATAGACAGGTATATAATTTACAGAATGATGCAGCATGATTTTCTTAAAGCAGTTCATGGTATTATTTAGATAATAAATATGCATTAACATGACATTTTGGGGAAAAATAGTCCAATTTGTGACGCATGGTTTATTGACAATAAGAGAATTTGACAAACAGAAAAGAGAAATAGTCTGTTGTTACAAACCCACATGCATTATTTATAAATTGTGCTGTTTACTGTATTGCTATCACGTTTCTTTTTTATGTGCCATTTTGTTTTCCTTTATTTTATTTTTCCAATCAATCCACTTCAACACATCAAACGCGGTTGTAGTCAACCTTACATGGGGCACATAGACAGCCTAACACATTTCATGGATTGTGCCTTCATCTAGTTTAAACTTCTTTCCTGGTGTCTTTTCACCATTATTCACATAATCATGCTGATACATGCTCAAGAGTTTGCCATGTAGTATAGAGCGAATATATAACCTGAAAGGGAAGAATTGTGATCACCTTAAATGCAAGAGATTCCATATATCCTTTCTAGTCAGTTACCAAATTTTCTTTATTTCTAA